ATATGATGAAAACTAGGGATCTTCTCAGTGGTTTGATGAAGAGCCCAGCTTTTGGAACAGGGAGGGCTGCCATCTTTGAAGCCATGCAAAGAGCTGAGGTATCAGTAAGGACTCAGGAAAATGGTGCTGTCTGCTGAAACCACATCCTTGTTAATGAGACGAGGCCCAGAAATTGGCTTATAGCAGAGGTTCTAAACTGGTAGCCCTTGGGCCAAGTCTTTCACAATTTGGGGATGGCTTTCCAGTGCTTTAAAATTTGAGTTTTTTACAGATTTTCACATAGATTTTTATTTATTTATTTGAGATTTTTAAAAATTTTTATAAATTTTTTCATAGATTTTTTATTTACAGATTTTTATTTATTTGAGAGAGAGCCAAAGAGAGCATGTGTGTGTGTGTGTGTGTGAGAGAGAGAGAATGAGTGGGGTGGAGGGGCAGAGGGAGAGGAAGAAACAGAAGTGGACTCTCCACTGAGCAGGAAGCCCTATGCAGGACTCGATCCCAGGACTCTGGGATCATGACCTGAGCCAAAGGCAGATGCTTAACCGACTGAGCCACCCAGGTTCCCTTAAAATTTGATTTATGAACTTTTGTTCAAGGCACACAGTCTTTATCTTTCCTTGGCCCTGCCTCTTTTATTACATCTGCCCACTTCATACTTTGCCTACTCTGCCCTGCTTCCCATTGCTTTTAGATTTTCAGTCCTCAACTTGGAATGCAAAGTAAAGGCAAGATCTTGCCAGAACCTCAATATCCATAACTGAGAAGCCCAGGCAACGTATAACTTCCAGGGACTAGCACTCAGGAGGTGTGAGGTAGAAGTACTTTACCAGAGCATCTAGGAATGTAAAAGAAAATTCTTTGTAGCCACATCAGCAAGTACTTTTTCTTAGGAAGGCAGAGGCCAGAGTGAGACAGGCCACATTTTGGGAAAGTGCTTTTGGGCTGTCAGCTTTGTCTGGAGTTCAGTTTTATGTTGAGATGGTCACAGAATGGGCAGCCCGTTTCAAGATGCTGGAAGGAGCATTCTAGTGAATATTGATGGTGGGATGCTGGTGGTAGGGGGAAGACTCTGGATCCACTGCTTTCTATTTTAAAAGGAAAAAAACCCCACATAATTAAAATTTTAGTAAAATGGAACAAATAAGAGAAAATACAGTGAAAGGAACATAAGAGCTTGATTAAAAGCTGTTATCATTGATTTTTAAAACACTAGGATTTCAACAGGGTCTTTTATCAAAATTAAAATAGTTGAACAATTCTTAAAAATATCCTGTAGGGGTTTTTCTTTCCTTTCCTTTTCTTTTTTTTTTTTTTTTTGGAGGGCAAATTCCTGAGCCCTAGGTGGGATTATTGACTCTCCCCGGTGATGGAAGATGTATTTTGTCTTACATGTAGGCTGCTGCCAGAGAAGCCGACCTTGGGCTGGGGATGATAAAGCAGGGAGGAGGGTTAGCTCCAAGGCTGAAATGTGAAAACAGCTTCTAAGAAAATACACCTTTGCCCTTTGCCTTTATTCCCTCCCACCAGCACCGATCAGTTCACACTCCCCACAGGAGAGCCATCTCTTTTCCTTTTTCTTTATTACTCCTTGATTACCTGTTTGGAATTCTGGATACAAGGATTGTCCCAGTTGAGTCAATAAAAAAACGAAACAAATATGCATGAGGATAGTAGCTGTATGTTGTGTCCCTATTTTGGCAAGAAGAGTGACACGCAATCCCCAGTGACTGGCAGCTTGTGCACCTGCTATCTCCATGTCAGCCCAGAACCCCAGCTGGTACTCCTGGTCATGTGTGCCGTGCAGTTTCAGCACACGTGTGCGCGCACACGCGAATATGCTGGATTGCTGAGCACACATCTGCGCACTCCGGTGTGGGTCTAGGTCTACACACTCTCGGGATGCGACTTACAGTCTTAACATGAGGCTTTCAGGTTGGATTAAAAAAAAACAACAACAACAGAATGGGCGCCTGGGTGGCTCAGTGGGTTAAGCGACTGCCTTCGGCTCAGGTCATGATCTCAGGGTCCTGGGATCGAGCCCCGCATCGGGCTCCCTGCTCAGTGGGGAGTCTGCTTGTCCCTCTCCCTCTGCCGCTCCCCCTGCTTGTGCTCTCTTTCTCTGTCAAATAAATAAATAAAATCTAAAAACAAACAACCCAGAAGGTACTTGGCCCGTGACATTGAGGTCAATGTTGTAATGCCAGAACTGCTCCCTCCACCCCTTTGACTTCTATTTGAAAGTGGTTGTGAAGACCTAAAAGGACACATTTTCCCACACACTCGTTTCCGAATGGCCCATTTCTGGTTAAGTTCACACTTGACTGGCCGCCGTGTTGCCATCCCTCCTGGTCTGAGGGCCCAGAGACCAGGAGCACGTGAGCTGACAGGTGAAACTTCTCGTATCTGGGTGGGCCGTGGCTCTTCCTTGGCACCGAGAAAAGCAATGAGATTCTGAAGGCAGAATTTTTCTCAGGAAGTTGAATCATTTCATAAATCATTTAATTTTTGAGTCGAGTTTAATGACAGGTTTGATATTCAACATTCTAAAAATACCACGGAATTTGTATGAAGCATAGAAATTGTATAACCTTGGCAAGGCGAATTTCTTAACTCCTATCTCCAGAAAGTTCCATTCCTCACCTTGGTTCTAGGTTGATTGATGCACCCTGATTATTATTTACTGCTCTGTGTTGAATGCTGCAAGACCTGCTTTTTATTTTGCTGCTCACAGCTCAAAGGCTGAAACTCAGATCCTTAAGCTCATCATGAGACTCACCCAACTGCTCACGTAACACCTGTTTGGGCTAGTGCCCCATTTCCCAGGTCCCGAAATAACACTGCTGGCAAATAATCCCTCCCTCTCCGTGTAACCCCTCCCCCCCCGCCAACACCCCAGGGCTCCTCAGCACGTGAGAAATGTCAGCCTGACACGGCCATCTAGGGCTTTTGTCACCATGCTATCCCAAAGTAAGTTCAATGAACAGTGATGTTACCTTAATATGGAAAAGAAAATTTCCTATGTGTATTAGTTTTGCTGGCACTGCTCTAACAAAGAACCACACACTGGGTGGCTTAAGACAACAGAAAGGTATTGCCTGCAAGTGAGAACTCCAAAACCAAAGTGTCAGCAGGGTTGTTCCTTCTGAGCACTAGGAGGGAAAATCTGCTCCATGCCTTTCTCTTAGCTTCTGGTAGTTTGTTGCAATCTTTGACAATTCCCTGACCCTCAGAGGCTTCACCCTGACCTCTAGCTTCATCCTCTGATGGTCTTTGCTGTGTGTGCATGCCTATCACCCCATTTTCCCTTTTTATAAGGACGCCAGTCATACTGGATTAGGTCTCACCTGAATGACCTCATTTTAACTGTCTCCAAATGAGTTCCCATTCTGAGGTTCTGGGTGTTAGGACTTCAGCATATGGATCTTGAGAGGACACAATTCAACCCCTAACACCGTGCTACCCCAAATTCCCTCATCTGGTTGTCCTTTGGCTAACTTATAACATCTCAGAGGTGGCAGCCCACTTTCCCCCCTTCTCCAAGACTCTAGTTATGGCCCTGCCCCCAGTCCTTCCAGATTCCTGGACTTCCCTTCTCTCTTTGGCCTGCCTTCAACCTGGGTGATCCTGCCACACTTCATGTCCCTAGGAGGGAAACTTCTATTTTCTATCTTGGTAAGATACTGTCTTTATCCTTCTCCATTCCACCATTTCCTGCTTTTCAGTAACTCGGCTGAACCAAGTACACGCCCAGCCTCCCCAGGAAGCTCCCTTTCCAAATACATTATAGTCACCATCTTCCTCCCCGCCCCCCGTGGTGCCTCTCCTGCTAAGCTTTGCTCTCTTCTAGAAGCAAGTCCTGCTTAGACATCAGTTCCTTGAAAACGTGCTGCCTAAGGACAATGGTGTGGTTGAGAATGTTTGATTTGTTGAGGGAAGAGGGGAGAAGTTGGTTTTGTTTTGTCTGAGAGGAGGATTTTGTGACAGACCTACCACCAATTGTAGCCACACTGACCAAGTGAACTAGTGGCTTTAGGTGGTGTTTCCCAAAATATGTAAGGGGACATTTCTGCCCTTCTAGAAAATCACTTCTATCCCCTGTCCCCCAATAAGTTATAGAGATGAAGAAATGACAGAAATAGTATAGTATCTCCTGATGGAGACATGCAGTACATTAATTAAAGTCTCTGACAAGTCCAGCTGAACAGAAACTGGTTTAACTTTGTGTGTGTTTATTTTTATTTTATTTTACAGTAGCTTCATAGCACATTACTAACACCATTACAACTTATTACTAACAATCACTGTTGATACAGCAAAGGTCAGCAAACATTTCAACATTTGTACTTGAACAGTGTTTCATCCATCTTTAAGCTGGGCAAACCTTAAGTATTTTGCAATTAAGAAATATATATAATCTAGGAAAATCCACACATTTCCAGTTTCAAATAACCAACTTCATAATTTTGATTTTATGGACAATGTTTTTTAAAACATTGAGATGTAATTAACACATATTAGTTTCAGGTGTACCACCCAATGATTCAATATTTGTATATATTGCAAAATGCACCGCAAGTCTAGTTAACATGCACCACATGTAGTTAGAGAAGCATCTTTCTTGTGATGAGAACTTTTAAGATCTACTCTCTTAGCAAATTTCAATATCAATCCAGTATTGTTAACTACAGTTGCCACGTTGTATATTACATCCCCGAGACTTACTTATTTTATAACTGGAAGTTTGTACCTTCTGACCACTTGGTTTTACTTTTTTCCCAGAATTTTCTTTTTACGAAAATCGTCAGAGAATTACACAGTCAACACTCACATACCAACCAACTAGATTCTATAGTTAACATTTTTGCTATTTTTGCTTTTTTCCATTGTAACCATCTATCCATCTCTCTCTCTCTCCCTCTCTCTATCAATCCCTCTTATTTTTTGATGCATTTCAGAGTAAGTCACCTTTTGCCCAAAATTACTTTAGCACACCTATCCTTAACCAGCTTTGTTTACGAATTGGTGTGTCGTCCTTGTGCAGGGGCCATGCTAATCTTCTCTGTATCGTTCCGATTTTAGTGTAAGTGCTGCTGAAGCAAGCACTAACCACCTTTGTTTAAATCAGCATTTCCTTGTCCCCCATGAGCACAAAAGTCACGTGTATTTTTTTTTTAAGATTTTATTTATTTATTAGAGAGAGAGCAAGGGGGAAGGGCAAAAGGTAGAGGGAGAATGCGGAGCTCGATCCCAGGACCCTGGGACCATGACCTGAGCCCACGGCAGACACTTAACTGACTGAGACACACAGGCGCCCCTAAAAGTCACATGTTTTTTTCTAATACCTACTGATGTCACCCAAATTTCATGCTCCACAGGAGAGACTTTGGGCTAGATGCTTTGGGGTTATGAAATCTCGGCTTATTTAAAATCATTGTCCTGTCTCATTTAGATTAATCACAGGATGAGAAGGGCCACATTTAATCACAGGTGAGGAAAACGTGAGGACTCTTGCCCAGGGTCATACAGCCAGGCCGTGGCCTATTAGCTCTAGAGCTTTTTCTGCAGAATGGTGGTGTTCTGCGTTGTCCTTGAACCCGGTGACATTTTCCTTCCACTCTGGTCGTTGCACACCTCTGTAGCTGACTGCATTTGTCTTTGGTTTCACTGGAGTGTTTTTGGGGGGACAAAGTAAAGCCTCTGGGCCGGGCTCCACACTAGGCTTCCAGAAGATGGAGGGGAGGGCCAGACTTTGGCATAGATGAACCACTCTTTTGTAACTTCATTTCTTCCAGTTACTTGTTATATCTCACCCAGATTTCTTTTCCTTGGCCATGCCCACATTTTATCCTCTCCTTCCCGAATTCCTAAAATTCATCATCTCGTTTTTCATGATAAAAGATGTGGTTTTTTTGTTTTGTTTTATTTTTATTTTATTTTATTTTTTTATTATGTTCAGTTAGCTAGCATATAGTACGTGGAGAAATATTCAAGGTAGTCTACAGCAGGCCTCTCACCTTCTTCAGGGCATTTGTAATACCTAGCTCTTTCAGAGAGTAGGATCTAGGGAGCGGGTGAGCCCAAGGGGGAATGATAGCTCTCCAATTTTATATTCTACCTGAAAAAAATGTTTGTGAGTCTAAAACTCCATAGGAGGGCTACTATCACAGCAATGAGATATGTCCTCCTCAAGTTACATTCAAGGAAACTCATGGCATCCTATGATTACGTTCTATACTTAAAAAGTTTTTTTTTAGTATTTAATTTCTATCCTAATGATTAGATATATCTCAGGAAAATTGCTTTTATCAGTCTAAGATTTCTAGTAGTAATTATTGGTTCCATAGTACTAATCTTTTAAATGTTTGAGGATAAATAAATTTAACTCCTTGTTTTCTGCTACTATTTTCTGATATAAATAGTATTAAAACATTTCTCGGGGGGCGCCTGGGTGGCTCAGTTGGTTAAGCGACTGCCTTCGGCTCAGGTCATGATCCTGGAGTCCC